ATGTCCACTTCTCCATGAACAGTAGCAGTATCTCCTGTTGCAGTACGTAGTCGCCTATTGGTAGATTTGATCTTGGACATTTCGACAATATCTGGCCTAATAATTGTCTTCGTCGCACCTGTATCCAGCAGCAGCACATGTAATTTTCCATTAATTAAACCATCCACAAAAACACTGCTGGACTGGTGTAGAAGAGATGCAACACGTTCGATATCTTCTGGGGCATGCTGGTTACAGGTCGACGGTGGCCCCTTTTCCTCGACCCTATCTAGTTTTCCGACTGAGACGAAGTCGGCGCCACCTGGCTTTCTCTGCAACGACTTCGTATATGTCCTAGCTTTCCACATCTCCAACACCGGATTTCCTTCTTCTCTGGTAGATTTTCTTTAAAAACTCGCCTGATTGCTTCAATTATTCTGGGTTCCTCCTCTTTCTCTTCATCGACTCTCCTTATTCTAGGCTGGCTCCTGCAGCTCTGCTTTGCCGCCTCGAATTCCAGAGCTCGAGCCAATGCATCAACCAGTTGGCTCGGACGAGCCAGTGTTAGAGCCTGTCTTGTTTCGTTGTCTCGAAGTCCATCCAAAAAGGCTTGAACCGCTAATCGTTCCATAACGGTCGTTGGAGTAGCTGGATATGCTAGCCGGACCAAGCGTGCAATATCAGCCTCGAATTCTTGCAAAGTCTCGTTTGATTTCTGGCAGCGGTTCTTAAGTTGGGAATGGTAGACATGTTCCAAATGTGTCTGGCCATATCGAAGTTCCAGATGTTTCACCAACGCTTCGTAATCTTCTTGTTCGTTGGGAGAAAGCGTCTGCAAGATGTCCGTTGCATCTCCGCGTAAAGCCAGAGTCAATGCTGTAGCTTTTTCTTCCGGTAGCCAGCCATTTGCTTTTGCTGCTGCCTCAAACTGACGGATGTAGTTGGTCCAAGAAGTTTTTCCATCGAACTGAGGTGGTTTCATCCGTACTCGGCTTCCCTCCTGCAATACTCCTGGTTCCGTCAGCATCATAGGTAAATTTACAGCTTTCAGTTTACTATTTATTTCTCTAATTTTGACCTCCAATTTCTCGTTCAATTTTTCTTCTCTCGTATCAAATTCCATCCTTACGTTATTTAATTCCATCCTTACATCGTCAACTTTCTCTTCTAATTCATTGACATTTTCTAGAATCTTCCCTTCCAAATATTCTTTTAGGTTTTTAGAATTTTCTAGCATTTTCTGTTGCAACTCGTTTGAATTTTCCAACATTTTCTGTTGTAAATCATCCTTTAAATCGTTGACATTTTCTAACAATTTCTGTTGTAACTCGTTTGAATTTTCCAACATTTTTTGTTGCAACTCGTTGGAATTTTCCAGAATCTTTTGTTGTAAATCTTTTAAATCGCTAGAATTTTCCAACATTTTCTGTTGTAATTCGTTGGAATTTTCTAGAATGTTTTGTTTTAAATCACCTTTCAAATTTTGCATCAATAAATGCATATCACACGAACCTTCAAATAAATACGTATCTGGATTTTCACCCTCTTGTTCCAATGCTTCTCGAAGCCGCTGCTGCAACACATTCTTTTTTCCAGTTGTTTCACATTCTCTTTCTTCTAGCTCCCGCTTAAGGTCCGCCACTTTTAAGTCCATTAACGAAACCATTTTCGCGAAGTTTCACACTAACCGCACTCCTGACACCAATTGTAACGTTTTTTAACTGTTCGTAGTGTGAATTAAAACACGCACTGGTTAATTAACGAACTAAACTATTTATTTAATAACTTAACTACACTTAAAACACTATAAAACTAACTAAACACTTAACTACTAATTATTTATATCACTGCTAGTTTATTTATTTGCACTTATATTTATTTATTTCGCCGCGAGTACCAAATCTTAACTAACTGCTCTGTGATGCGTCGTTCCTTATATATTACAGCGCCAAGGTCTTCTGGAACATTCCAGCGAGCTCCACACTCTCGATTATTCGAGCGCTGAGTCACCGGCGATGACTCACCGGCAATGACTAATCGGCGATGAGTCATCACTCCGATATCCAGGGCGGTACTCGCTACAATACCTTCAGAACGGCTCACTCTATGAAAAAATATATTGAAACTTTTTTGTAGAGCGTTTAATTTCCTACCTAAATAATTTTTCAGTTCGTTTTTACAATGCTCAAATGTCAAGCTACAAAAATAAGAAAAAAGAAAAAAAAATTTCCATGTTATTTAAATGGAAAATGGAAAGTTAGGAACAGGCACTTAATGTTAATATTAAGAGCTCAAATTTTTTGAGGTTTCTTTTTTCACCTTCCTGAAAGTTTTTAGCCTGTTTTTTAGTTGAAAAAAAAAGTTGCTTAAAAATGACACACCCTAATACCGGCATCATCAGCCGTATTAGTGTTTGGCCAGAATGTTACATGGTGGTAAAACTCTAGATCTTCTCCCTTGATGTACTTCATTATATTTTTTATCATTTATTTTCTTTTCATTACGTGGTGGTCCAGTTCTTTTTTCTTAGACAATTTTTCCAGATGTAGACGTGCAAACTTTCTATTATTAATTTTTCATCTTTCTGGATTCTTCCTAGGTCTTGTGTTATTTTCGCTACTATCAGATGATAACATTGTTGTATTTTACACTTAAGCAGCATAAAATACCAACTGACAGCTTTCATGAGCATGACCACCTTAAACTTTTAGTACGGATATAATGTCCATAATCAACAACAACATTTGTTGGGAATAAGAACAGAACAAGTCCAGGACTTGTACTGTTCTTATTCTCAATGCTTCACAGTTAGCTCTGACAAACACCTTAACAAGCCGATTTTAAAAATGTTCTTTTACTTCTTCGATGCTGCTTAGAATTTAAAACAAAATGGCTATTTCAGATGAAAATGTCAAATTTTGTACTTGTATTGTTCTTATTCTCGCCGATTCAATTATATCCTAGAGATAGAGAAATTAGGATTAATTTTTGCATGTTAGAAATGAACGATTTGGACAATAATTTCTTAAAAAATATACTGTGTACACATAAATCCTCTTTCTCGATCTCTTGATTTTTAAACAGACATAATGTCCATTTGTGGGCAGAAGAGAATCCTAGGGCAGTAAGCAAGTAAGGAAGCAAGGCTGTCAAACTATTAATGTATGGTGTGGAATTTTACGAAGGGGAGTAATTGGACCAATTTTTATCTCTCAAAGAACAAAAGTATTTAGAATAGCTACATGGTGAAATTGAGCAATTTATTGACAACCTACCTCTTAAGCAAAGAAATAGTTTAATTTGAATGCAGGACGGTGCTCCACCACATAACACAAGGGCGGTTCTGGATTTCTTAAATGACAGATATCCCACTTGGCTCGGGAGAAATCAAATTATTTTGTGGCCAGCTCGGAGCCTGGATCTTAAACCATATAATTATTTTATAATTAATTAATTTATACAGGAACCATCTCCAGGAACTAATCGTTAAAGAAAAACATAATTTAAATAGTTTCCAAGAAAAGATTACAATTAATTTTATTAAAGGATGTAATATTTGAATAGAAAATAATGGGGGGTCTATAGAAAACTTGTTATATGTAGCTTTAAGCTATGGTATAATAAGCTATGATAGTAGAATAACAAAATATTATATTGTTACTAAGGGGCCATTCCACGCTTAACGGATAGGACAGTTGCCGTGTTTTGATTTACAAAATAATATTGTTCTATTATATTACCAATGTCAAATTTTTATAAATAGTTCTAAACAAAAGCTGTTTAACAAGGTTTTTATCTGGAAAAATTAGGTATCGTGATTGACTGTTTAATTCCTTAAAAATTAATAATTTAAAGCGTAACGGACGGGACTATTACGTAGTCCCGTCCGTTAAGCTTTAAATTATTAGTTTTTAAGGAATTAAACAGTCAACCACGATACCTAATTTTGCCAAATAAAAACCTTGTTAAACAGCTTTATTTTAAAACTATTTATAAAAATTTGACATTGGTAATATAATAGAACAATATTATTTTGTAAATAAAAACACGGCAACTGTCCTATCCGTTACGCGTGGAATGGCTCTAAGCTACTAGCATAGTAACAATATAATATTTTGTTATTCTACTATCATACCTTATTTTTTTATTCAAGCCAGAGTAACACTATTGGGATATTTATATAACTGTTATATATTTTTGAATTCACCTTGAAACCATCTATCGAAATGTAAAAAATATATAACAATATAATTGTTTTTATTAAAAAAATATTTTTTTTTGAACAGCCCTTTATAAATTAAAATTATTTCAAGTTTAATCTCATATTAAAAAAATATATAAAAAATTAATCAAGAAAGGTTTTTGTTTGACAAAAATATTCTGAGAATAAGGAAAATTATCGGGGGTCAACTTTAAGCCGGACACCTGTATATTCATTATTTTTTGCGTCGACAAAACTAAACCGACTTTCTTTCCAACCCGAATTTAACGTCAAATTTTATTTGCTGGGGTAAAAAACCCAAATCTTTGTTTTCTCCATGATATTTTTATTTAATTGAATCTTTTATGTACAAAGGTTTTATAATTTAAAAAAAATGAATATTTATTATTTTATATGTATGTATATATTTATTCTTTATTTTTATTTTTACACGAAATAAGGTAACAATTTTACGTATAGTCAATTTTTATATCCATCTTGTATAAAGAAAGATATACACATAAAAATACAGCATTTATTCTGCGAAGACATCACCTATAAAAATATTTTATTGGTTTTTGTGGATATTAAATTTTTATTCATCCGAACAAAGTTGCTAAAATATAAATATTTTATTTACTTATAAAGAACATAAATTACTTTATATGTATTTTTTCAATATTCTTGCAGAAAAATACAATATAATTAAAATTGATTTTGGGTGTTTAAATAAAAATTGCATATACGTAAAATATACCTAATTATTTTTAATATGACAAATTTATTTCCTGAATAATCCATAACTTAATTATATTTTTAGCAAAAACTACAAGCCCTAGGACTAAACAGGTTATTTGTGAAAGGTAGTTTGGAAAGAATAATAGTAGAAAATATTTGTGTACGTACAAATAAATTCCTGGGTATTTGTAATGCATTGGTAAACTATTTTAATGGACCTTCAGACCAAAAACCAAGAGTAAGTATTAGGGAGTTAAACATTTCTTAGAATAGGATTTACTTTGAATAGGAGTAATATACCAAAAAGTCGCTGAATTCATCTAATTTGGATAACATATTTTGCATTGAAAATAAGAGCCATATCCCAACTTTCCTTATAATTACACTCTGAAACATTTTCGGAAAAAATTAAGATGATGGGGTTCTAAAAGTATTTTCGGTTTCTACAATTAAAATCATAAATTATAGCGTTTACAGAATGTTTAGATTGATTCTGTTTTTTTTTAATATCAATTTAAAGTTTTAGTAATTCTGGATCCAGAAATATCGTAAAATAATAAATAATTAGTACATAAAAGATAATTATTGGTTTTGTATATTGTTTTATAAAGAAACAACAATCAATAAAGAAAAAAATATTTAAATAAAAAAATAATAAGAACAATAAAATCCAATTTTTTTTAAAAATTGAACCTTTTTCTGGATTTAATATGTTGTAGTGCGATTTCTTAGTTCTTTCGCTTCTATAATAATAATAATTATGGTAATTATTGTTATTATTATATTAATTATTAAAAACATATTCTTTTTAACAAATAGTATGAATCAACATAAAAGATATAACAAACTTTATTTATAATTTTATGCCAAAATTTCCATTGCCATAGACCAACAAAAATCTGCCAACATCGAAAAAAATATGCTGTTAAACAGAATCAAACCTCTTTCCTCTATAACGATTTTCCATTTCCATTATTATTTGATGCTCTTCTGATTCGGTGGACAGCTGATTTTCCTAACAGGTCTAGATGTGCATTGAGCAAATGTAATTTTAGTGACATTTTTACACCCATTTTTAATTTTTGTTTTATTTTTTATTATTTCTTTTTAATTTATTGTTATGACAACAATTTCCTACCAGTTAATTGGTTTAAATTAATAAATAACGGTTTATCGGGTTCCAAAATTAATAAAACTTAAAATCGATATTAAAACAAAACCTGAATCAATCTAAACATTCTGTAAACGCAAAAAGGCATTCTTTGGATAGGATAAACGAAAACCACTTTTAGAATCCCATCTTTTTTTTTGCTGTTGCACTGTGTTATTTAAAAGGTATGGCTCTGATTACATCATTAATTTTGTTTATAACCTTTCAAACTAATATATTTTTGTTTCAGGATTTTTCTAAAGAATTTCTTCGAGAGTGGCCTGATGATGTATCAGTTAAAACCTTAAGGCATTTTGCCCAAACGATTTCGTCTGGAGGAAAAGCTCCCTTATTTAATTATGGAGCTAAATACAACAATTACTTGTATAAAAGTTCTGTGCCACCTGAATATGATATTTCAGGCATACAAATTCCATTTCACATCGTCTATGGCGGAAGAGATTCACTGGCTCCGAAAGAGGTAAATTGTTTTGTGCAAAATAAAAGTTTTGTACTTTATTGTTGTTTTAGGATGCAGAACTTTTGTACAATACCCTGACATCAGAAAAAACTATACATGGAGTTCCACATTTCAATCATGTTGATTTCATGTTCGCGAACAATGTTGTCAATGACTTTTTTGTGTATCTGTTGGAATTGTTAAATAAATAGCTTTATACTTTTATCAAAAATATTTCAATTCGACATTGAGTGCTTTCACGGAGCTTTTAAAAGTATGTGTATTTGTTCGCATTTTGTTTTTATCTTTGTGCGAATAAATAATGAATTTACTCATCGACAATCCCAGGTGTTCGATAACTTTATTTAATTCCCTTTTCAAATTGAATTTGGCACAATATAAACTAAAATGAAATTGTGTAATAATTTTCAATATCGGACAAAACTAAAAACCTTGTTTAATACAAAAAACCTCACAATAATAAATATTATCAATTGAGTATGAGTATGAGTATAAGAAGGTATGGCTGGCCCCATAGGCATCGCCTTACACTGATCTCCCATGGGAGATCAGTGTAAGGCGATGCCTATGGGGCCAGCCATACCTTCTTATACTCAGAGTTGTTTTTATATTAACTTTCAGTTTTCATACGTATCCTGCAACTGCACAGCATTACCTGTGTTTGGTGGATTTTAATTTTCACCCTGGTAAATCTGTCTTAGGAGGTTATGGTATTTTGTCGCCGGGCCGGGCCATACGCCCGATTAAGGGACGTACACAATAATAAATATTATTAATTTATATAAAAAAAACTAAACAAATAATGCAATTTTTAAGCATTCTCCAAACACAATAAACATATCACAATAGTAAGTACTCCTGTAAAAATCACTTGCTGCACATCATGTTAGCAAACGCATGCGTATTGTTAAAGTAAAAATAGTAAAAAAGTGTTTAAAATAAAGGCCTTGAACTTGAGTACCAATTTTAATTATTAAAAATACCAAAGTATATTGACATATAGTACTAACATAATCAATTGTGTCCAATTTTAAACAAAAACAAACAAATATGTAGTATCACTTGTTTTATAACATAACACCCGAAATATTAAAAAGTAATGTATTAATGACACTAATTTAATGTATAAATAAAAAAAGATAAAAAAATTAATTTATCCTTGAAAACATCTTAATCGAATTTTGCAATATATTGTCCCAAATTTTATTTTTCTGTCTAGCCGGTGGATGTGTTTTTATTTTTTAGTTATATAGAATCTAACAAATAACAATTGATTTCATAGCAAACCTTATTTAAAAACAATAATCGCAATGGTTCGGATAAATTTGGGTTCTCTCAGTTTTGTGTTTTTGAATTTTTGTTTTTTAAGTAGTGGCAATAAGTGTTTCAGTACTAATTTACAAAATGTTACGATACACAGTGTAAGATTTTATTTATTAAAAATTTAAAAAATATATATTTACATAAATGTCCTTAAATCCCAGGAGCACGCTGCCAAACATAACATATCATATAAAATACATTGCATTACCACCAAAGATGGATATCACTTAAGTCTTTTTCACGTCTATGACAATACTGCTAACGATGTAGCTTCAAGACAACCAGTTTTAATACAACATGGTCTCGGGGCAAATGCATTAGAATTTACCATTGAAATTAACGACATGATTTCCATGGGTATGTACTTTTTAATTATACCTTCCATTATCGCACCATTATCAAATTTTCGTCAGACTTCAATGTATTTATTATAATTTTTTTAAAGCCTATTATCTGGTAAAAAATGGATTTAATGTCTGGGTGGGCAACGCTAGAGGTTCTCTATTTTCCCAGTCCCATAATTACCTAAGAATAAGCGATAGAAAATTTTGGAATTTCAGGTAAAACATTTTTGCAATATTTTTTTTGTTATTAACACAGTTATTCTCAGTTTTCATGAAATGGGAGTAATTGATGTACCATCTATGTTGGAATCCATATACGAAAAAACTTCTAAACAAAATAAAATTATTTATATTGGACATTCAATGGGAACTAATTTGTTAGGAGTTTATGCCTCTTCATTAAAGGACCATGCCAAAAAATTCCTTAAAAGAGCTGTTTTAATTAGTCCTGTCATACTTATGAAGCATACAAAAGTAAAATTATTAAAGGTGCCACAGTTGTTTGAATTTATATTTGTAAGTTTTAAACTTCTTACTTTCCTGAAAATTCTTCTTTTGGTAGAATCTACTATATTATACATATATGTATACTTTTCCATACACATTATTTTTTTAGGCAAAACTACAAGCCTTTGGATTTCACTCATTATTTTCAGAAAAGAGCCTTGAAAAAAGGTTACTTAGAGAATTATGCGTATTTAGAGACAATTTTGATTTTTGTGGGGCACTTCTACAAATCGCTAATGGAAAACCTAGTAAACCACCAAAAGTAAGTGTGAATGCGTTAGTCACTTATTTATATACAGGTATGTATGGGTATATTTGTATACCAGTCATGTATGACTTACTTTTTTCAAAATTCCCAGGAATAACGATTTTTTGTTTAAAAAGTTTTTATTTTTTTTCAAATATTTTAAGGCTTTTACCCAATTTATAAATTTTATTTTACTAGGCTTGTAATTATCCAACTGGTGGAAGATTTATAAATTTATAACAAAACAGCATTCATATATGTTATTTTCAGGACTTCGTGAAAGAATTGTTAATGACTTGGCCTGATCAGGTATCAATTAAAACCTTAAGACATTTTTTACAGACCATAATATCTAGAGGAAAGGCTCCCATGTATAATTACGGACCTAGATACAACAAAATTTTGTATAATAGTGCAGTAGTACCGAAATATGATATTGAGGGTATACAAGTACCATGTCACATTTTTTATGGCGAACAGGATGTACTAGCTCCAAAGGAGGTAATCATTTTATTTAAAACAAGGGGTTTTTAAATGCATTTTTTTTAGGATGCCGAACTTTTGTATAGTACTTTGACTTCAGAAAAAACCATACAGGGTGTATCAAATTTCAATCATATCGATTTTATAATTGGAAAGGATGTCGTGCAGAAGTTTTTTATTTATTTGGTAAAAATATTAAATAAATAGCTCTTTCTAGATTAAATTTCTTATCTTTAAAACCAGAATTTTATATATTAAAAAATTATATTATAAAGATTTATTTTTTGGTCGTATATTAGAAATCCGTGCTTGGTTTACCTGTATCATGTCAAAATTCAAAGATATTTAATTTTATTTAAGTTTTGGAGCATCCCATTAGGAAACACCCCTCATAAATTTAAAAAAAAATCAATTGGGCTAGCCCACACATCAGTTCCAAATTTAAAAAAAAACTTACAAAATTTGAAGTAATTGATTAAAATAACTTTCTAAGTAATTGATTAAAATAACTTTCTCTTTAAAAATGAAAAAAGTCAAAAATGACCAATTGTCATAACAAAAAAGCAGCCACTAATAATTCTCGTCAACAGCAATTTCTATCCCAGACATTTAGCATGTTAATTAATTCAAAATGTAAAACAGTTTTTGAGATATAGTCAATTTTCCAGATAATATGAAATTGACTATATCTTGGAAACTGCTACACTTTCATAATTTTTGACGGTATGTTCAGATTCAGGGGACAATTTTACTTAAGAATTGGTCAAAAATGACTAATTTAATAGTTATTAGCAAAGACCGGATTTTAGGCCCTTAAAAATTGGAAACTAGGACAAATAAAAAGGCAATAAAAACCTATATTTTAGACCGTTTTAGGCCGAAAGTGACTAAAATAGACCTCAACCGCCTAAAATAGGCGATATAAAATAAAAACAACACGATTAAACATAACATTTATTCAGGTCCTATCAATAAAAATAAAACAAAAACTACATATGTCCCTCTTATATATATATTGGCAAAAGATTTGCTTTAAATTTTACAAGTAAGGTTTTCCTTTTCTTTATTCATACGTGCAATTGTTTGCAAGAATTTGTGTTTTTATTTTTATTATTTATTTTATATTAAGAGAGACAAATTATACTACTAAAAACTGTTAAAAAGTCTGAAATTACCATATACATATATGGAAATTACATATATGAAAACCAAGTAAATAATAATGTTCAACCATTATTTTACAAAGTTAATATTATCCATAATTATTTATAATAAATATTTATATAGCAAAAACACAATTACTTTTTTTCTTAGGTTTTCACTAGTTTTGTAATTTGTGGTCGTCGTACGCGCCAAGGGCGTCTAAGCGAAATAAGAGCATGAAAGCAGGGTCTAATTAAAAATGATTTACTTTTCCGCAATGAAAAATATATTTTTTACTAAAAAATTCAAAGAGCCTATTTTAGGCGCATAAAAATGTCCTTTTAGGACAATAAATCAAAATTTCGCCATTTTAGGCCTTTAGGCAAAAACAAAGGGGTGTCAAGCGCTTTATTTTTTTATGTTTAGGATTAATTTCAAGGTCCCAAACAAATGCCTAAAATAGAAACAAAAAGGCATTTTGCCTAAAATCCTGTCCTTGGTTATTAGTGGCTGCTTTTTCATTTGTATCATGGTTAACCATGGAGTACCATGTTATCCCAATATTTAACAGCCAATTCCTATGTAAAATGGTCCTCTGAGTCCAAAAAATTATAAAAGTAGAGCAGTTTTTCAGATATAGTCAATTCCATATTATATGGAAAATTGACTATATCTTAAAAACTGTTCTATTTTTCTAATTTTTGAAGACATTGTCGGACTCAGGGGCAATTTTACATGGAAATTGACTGCTAATTGTTCGGGTTACAAATTGCTTTTGATGAGAATTATTAGTGGCTGCTTTTTCGCTATGACAATTAGTCATTTTTGACTAATTCATTTTTAGAGACTGCTTTTTACTTTAAAAACTAGTCATTATTTGACTAATTCATTTTAAGAGAGGATGAAATTCCACAATTTTTTTGCGGATTTTTTATTGAGTTTAATTGAGGAGCATCCGTGCAAAACCGGCTAAATCCATTTTATTCAGTTTTTGGTTTTTTTTTTGATTTCGCATCTTTGAGTTCATTTCTATCGACAACCAAGAAAATTTATTTTAAATCCGACTAAATCCATGTTAAAATCACATTTAAAAGGTAGCTTTAGGAGCAAAACCGGCCAAATCCACGTTTTTATAGCAAACCCGGCTATATCCAATAAATAATTATATGTGGCTTGGATATGTCGATACTACTACTAAAATTTGTTCTGTTTTTTCATGTTTGCACTAAATTTATTTTGTTAATATTTTTGAATAATAAAGGTTTTTTTTCACATTTTATTTGTTTTTTATTCGGTTTTCGAGCAAAACCGGCATATACAAAACATTTTTTGAAATTTGGCCTAAATATAAAGTTTTTGAAAACGAAAGTATGTCTTATAAATCAAGTACCACATAGCTCACAAAACTCAAGTTTACTTTTTCTTTTATCTATAAAGGCCAGGAAACGGAGAGTTTTTGCCATTTTCCCAACATTTTATTAAAGTGGATATAGCTGGTTTTGCATGGATGCTCCTCAATTAAGGATATTATAATATATATATTTAAAATCAAAGACCAAAAAGTATGTTTACGTGTCCGAGCGTTTAGCTGTGATATTTCAAAAGATAAAAATTTACCTGCAGTGTAAATAATAATTATTAATTATATGTAAATATCCGTATACAATAAGTTTATATGTATGTAACTTCAACATGAAATTCAGATATACCGAAATAAAAATTTAATTAAAAAGTTTTTAATTTCAAATTATGTAGTGTATGCCCATAAAACTTTATATTAAAAATGAAAATGGGTTTAAGCTGCACTGGAGTGAGCGGGAGAATGACCGATTAGTCTGCCTGCAGTTTGAGAAAAGCTATATAGCAGGAAAGAATCATCAAGAGTGGCAAGTGCAGAGTGGGTACCCTTAAGGAGGATAATTATAGTGAAATCTCGACTCATCGCTCCTAATTGTTGTGTTATCAAGCGTGCGTCTATTCACCATTGCATTCCTCTTACATCTCTTCAGACACCGACATCATTACGAAGCTGGATAAAATTAGATTCTTAAACGAATAGCCGACTTAATGTTTCGCTTTGTTCTTCTATTTTGTCAGACTTTCTCTGTTTTAAATGAGATGTTAATAAAGACGTCAATCACGAATTTAATACGTTAATGATACATACTAAGGCTGGGAATCGATTACGAATAATTTAAATATTCGAGTATTAATTCGAATATGTTAATTTGTAATTTTAGTTAAAAAAAATCTCATCAAAAATTAGGTGGCTTTCGAATTTTGTTAATATTACAAAAATAATCAAATTCGAATTTAAAATAATATTTTTTTCGCCACAGTAAACTTTTGTACAAACAAAAATTAATGAGTTTTAATCTTAACTTAAAAATAAATTTTTAAATGTTTTCCAGTCATATTAAATTATTTGGTATTACGTTTATAGTGAGTTGTATTGTGCGATAGCGACATTTAATTTATCACCACTGTCCGTGGAGTCCTAATATAAAAAGCCCATTTACCTAGTATTTTGTGGGTTGCGGTTATTGTTGTTGCATTGTCCAAATAAATATCATTATCGTTTATTATAAATTTTAAATGTTTTATACGTTTAACTCTCTCCCATAATCCCTCATTTTGGAAGGTTTTATGAGCGATATTTACATAAAAATAAACGGGAGCCTTCCGGGTGTTTGACCTGTGTTCAAACGTAATTTATTGTCTTTTATTTACTGTATTTATAATTTCCCTTTTAATACTTTTCCCATGAATACAACACTTTAAAAGTACCTTGGGTTACTAAATTAATGAGCTTTATTACCGTAAGTATTTATTTAATTTATTTGTCGTAATTTACTATACCATTTGCCATGGTGTTATATTTCATTTTATCACTTGGGGTGTAACTTTTACAGATTCTTTGCTGGGGGAGGTTCGTAAAAAATTTTGACCAGAAAATCTTTCTACAATTATGTAAGTAAAAATTTTTAACCATTTTTTGAATTTTCAAAATTATTGTGCGACCATTAATTTATTAATTAAACTAATATTTTTTTATAGGAGACTCGAAAAACTAGCCTAGAGATTTAATAAAAACTTTTTATAATAATTATTATTATTATTACAATTTGTTTGATTAGCAAAAAACAGATTCAATATTAAATATTATACGAAGTTTTATTAAATCTCTAGATTGACTCAAACAACTCTAAAACTAGTTAAGCTTCACGAGCTGGTAAATATTTCAATATTCGAATATTTAAAAATTCGATTATTTGAATATTCCAATATGTACTCGATATTCGAATATTCGAATATACGAGTAGGTACATGAATATTCAAATACCCGAATATTTGAATATTCGAATATTTGAGTATAATTTTCAAACAAGTATTTCTAAAGCTAAAAAATATCAGGCTTGTTTATTAGAACTTAAGAAAATGGCGAATGCGCCGGGATATTCTTATTTTTATTATTATTTGTACCTATTTCTATGCTTTTAAATTTACGGTTTACTATATGTATAGTGTAGTTCACTAACGATATACTACGCGATAACGTATAATTTAAGTATAAAAACATTTTTGACGCACAATACACACAACCAAACTTAAAAAAAAATTTTTTAGAGAACAAATTACAAAAAATATAAATTCCTCTGAAAGTAAATTATCAAACTCAAAAATTAAATCCGCTACAAAAACTCTTGAATGTATTTTTAGAAATACAAAAGGTTTTTCTTGTCAATCCCTTAACGTATTATTTTACTTTTACTGGTGTGGTCTCTAATATACACATGTCATATAAAAAACCTTGAAAATATTCAGCGCAAATAAACCTAAAGTTTCTTAATTTTAGAAAATTTAATTTTTATCCACCTCAGGGATTTGATCATTTAATTCTTTTGAATACCTTTAACTTTATATCGTTTGAATTAAGAAGAAAAATTATCTCAATAACCTTTTTATATAAACTGCTTCATGATCAGATTGATTGCATGGATTTGTTGTGTAAATTGAGTTTTAATGTACCTCGTTTAAATGGCCGACACAACGTAACATTTAGA